TGCTTTTATGGCCAAAAATATCCGTATGATTTGCATTAAAAAGCAGAACAAGTGTATAGAATTAAATATATATTTTACCCCACCTCAATGTGTTTTCTTCCTGTTCCATTAGGAATTGTGCCTTTCATGCCCATATACAGATTAAAATTAATAAATGCAGCAAACGGTCTGGGTGATCCTGGCACGGTCAGGCTGATTAGGCTCATCATCAGCTCATGGCCCTTGCCCCCTCTACACGCAGCCCAGACAGCGAATGGGACTTCTCTCATGAAGCGCTACCTTGTCAAACTAGAATGTTTCGTAGAATGTGAAGACTCCCCAACACTGCGCAGCCTTCTGCATTACCCAGATTGTCAGAAGGGCTGTATTCCTGGTAGCAAACTCGGGTACTCTCCCAATGTCAGTCATCAGATTGGGAGGTACCAAGCCTAAAGCTCCGAGAACAATGGGCAGTCAGACAACTTGGTACTTGGGATGCAAACGTGACATTTCGAAAGCGAGGTCTGTATATGTGCCATGTTTTTCATGAATCATGTCAATTACATTAGTGTCAAAAGAGACAGAAAATTCAATGATATAAATGATTAACTTGGATTTATCAAAAAGGACAAGATCAGGTTTGTTGGCCTGGATACGTCTGTGGCTGTCAACGGGCCTATTCCAAAGATTTTTTTATTTATCATTTTCCATGACCCCCTCTACCTATTCTGGGTCGTACCATGGATGCATCTCTGTGTCAAAACGACAAGAATTGCGAAAACGGTAATTAAAGTGCCGAGACACCCATCATGTCGCTTAAGATACTGTGTTTGTGCCAAGGCTGGGCATCCACTGATGTGTTGGACAGTCTCATCAAATTCATTGCATTATTTACATTTCTTTAATATTTTGATACAAAATCACACATTGACGATTTCGAATGGGTTGGTTGGTTGGTTTGATGTTTAACGCCGCACTCAGCAATATTCCAGCTATATGACGGCGGTCTGTAAATAATCGAGTCTGGACCAGACAATCCAGTGATTGATATCATGAGCATCGATCCACCCAATTGGGATCGATGACATGCATCAACCAAGTCAGCGAGCCTGACCCTCGCCTTTTACGACAAACACAGTCACCTTTTACGGCAAGCATGGGTTGCTGAAGATCTATTCTACCCCGGATCTTCACGGGTCGATTTCGAATGGGAAGTGACCGGTGCTGAGCAGCAAAGAGAAAGCCTTCTGTTTCACTTTTCAGGCCAGTCGACTTCATCCAAGCAGGGACTCTGCATGGTTGCTGAGCTTCTCAACATACTGAACATAACCTCGATGCAGTCGTTCAGATAGCCCCATCTTGAAAAACTGAATCTGGGCTGTTTTAATACGGCACTTCGCTTGGTTGACATTCATTTCTGTATCGTCCAGGAGTACACAACCAGCGGCACATAGATTTTCTTAAGTCCACATTCGTACTCTGGCCGAAATATGACTTTAATATGGGCATTCTGGAGTTTGTCCTAACCTACTAACTCAATAGGCAATCAAATAGCCACTACCATGGACAAGGTACAAAACATGTAAAAAGACATTCTGTTTCTGTGTTTCGTTCGAAAATAACACAGGATACGATTATCAAACAAACTCTGTTTTATATGGAAATGTATATGACAACACATAAAATAAGACCGCTTCCATGGTCTAGTAGTAGAGCGTCCGCCCGGAGAGCGGAAGGTCCGGGGTTCGATCCCCGACCGCGTCATACTGAGCGTTCGCTCGTCACGCCGAAGACCCGGGGTTCGATTCCCGACATGGGTACAATGTGTGAAGCCCATTTCTGGTGTCCCCCGCCGTGATATTGCTGGAATATTTCTAACAGCGGCGTAAAACCATATTCACTCACTCAGTGATGACACCAGGTGTTTGCGCAAAGGGTTTTAAGTCCGTATTATCCATTTTATAATTATATCCATTGTCAGCTGAGTGCGTTGTATTTCCCAGTACACTATCAATGGTGGTGGCATGTCGGTAGACGTCGGTGGTAAATCATGCGTGCCAATATCCAATTGCAAATATACCTCACAATGAGCTCTGTGTGACACGTTAATATGCTGGTACTACAATGTATCTAAACAGATAAGAATCCAAACGCTTTGAACGTGTGATAGTATCGGCGACATACTAACATATGTAGCTTATTATTGTGCGTATGTAATGACTGTCGACGTGCGGGGGAATATTAGGTGAATAAGTCAGTTTCATTTTATGCCGCCTGTATGTTACAATAATCGATGCATGTCACGACAGCAGAAACGAAGAATAGGTTTCGTACATTGCTGCCATGTAGAATCGAACCGGGGTGTGACAGCGAACGCTTGCACCTCCGGGCCTACCCAACTTCCTCCCTCCCCCCCCCCCCCCCCCCCCCCCTCTCTCTCTCTCTCTCTTGCATCACTTCGAGCTTTCCTCCCACATTAACCTGACAGGCCGTGATATAACTGGAACACTGTTAAAAGCGGCGTAAAACCCAACTCACTCACTCAACTCAATTGAACAGAACTAACCATTTTGACCCTATTATCGGCTAAGGTTACGAGTTGCATTGCTTTTTGTAACTGACGAAGGTAACTGATTTTATCGAAGGCCACGTTAAGTGCATATATGCGTGTAGGAACGGCTGCAGTGCTATTTCAGACACTATCTTGTAGTTGTGGAGCACTGGGGGAATGCCGCGTGTCGACCCGTTGCTCGTGAGACACCCCGCAAGTATTACCCGCAGGCACGAACACCTTGACGTCACACGTCCCACACATTCAGTTATGTGTGTGTGCGTGTGTGCATGCGTGTGTGCGTGCGTGCGTGAGTGCGTGTTTGTATGTATATACGTTATGTTACACTCTCCAGTGGGGACTCCAGAACTGATTGCGTCCTCGGGGTTCGATCCCAGAACCATACGAGAACACGTTAAAAGATGGTCCTTCTTGTTACCCTGCCTGGCGCTCGGCATTAAGGGGCTAAAACAAGGACTGGTCGGCTCGGAGTCAGGATCCTGTGTCTCAGTGGGGTATTCATGTGAAGATGCGACATGGTATCTCAGTGGGCTAGCACTAGGAAATCGATATTAGTTCGGACTAGTACAAGCAGACACACACACGTGCATGCACTTCGCTGTGTTAGTGCAATAATCATGGACGCTACGTTAAACCCCATTTCACCTCACCTTACACCAATAGAGAATATATAACAGGGCGGATCTGCGTCTGACATAGAAGGTATCACGTCACAGTGAAATCTTTTGTAGTGGACAGTAAAGGTCATGGAGGTATATCCACAAAAACCTTATGTCCACTGAGCAAATTGTTTCGTTATAACAAGTAAATAAACAGGGGTCGGCGACCTTTGGAAAATGGACGAACTGGAGGAACGTGCATTGGTCGAGAACTTGCAGAAAAAGGGGCTGAAGGGAGGTGAACCTCAACTCAGAAATTATTTTCACTCACAACGTGGGAGGAAAGCCTGAAGTGATGAAAGCCTCACACGCTTACGACTTTGGTGAAACCCACGCGCATGAGAATGCTGCTGACAAACCTTGAAACATTTCCGGGGATTTGAACCCGCAGCCATAGATTTCTATTGTGCCCAAGGGACGCAACTCTAGATCTGCACAGCGAATTGCGGCGCTTAAGACGAGTGACTCCCCCCCCCCCCCCCACACACACACACACCTCCGTTCCCCATTGGGGGTAACATATTCACTTCAAAGGTACAACTACATAGGTATATAGCACTACATACTGGACCAGCATTGAACTATAAACTATAGCTGTGCCATATTTATACCATGTGTGTGTATGTATACTAGTATATATGTATATTGCTCTGTGTGCCCTGAATTCAACAAGTTAGGTATCTTTGAAATTATCTTCATTCATGGCTATATCACAATTTGATTTATTGGATATTTCTGTCAAAACAAATAAACTAATATTTATGTACATTTCAGTTTATATTAATTGATATAAATATCCAATCGCGGTATTTACCATAGTATGAGAGGTAAATTAAATATAATGATCTTTTTAAAGTTTTATCCATTGTGACTCGCCATCAAGTAATATTTGTTCAATATAATGTGTGTCAATATATTACAAACGCGTGGCGTGATTTATGCCTTGATATATATAGGTGTAGACCTTGTGATTAGTTAACTGGGTGATAGTCTCTTTGTATAATTGTTATATTATCATAATGACTAATTACGGCAATCATCAACTGCGAGATCGACCTAATGCATAAAATGTGAATTAGCAGACAAAGTGTTTTTCTGCTGGAACTGTCATTTGGCACGAGACTGTCTTATAAATTGTTGCGTCTCTGTTAAATACCGTACATTTTTAAAACAACAGTATATACTTTTTTAATGCCTGTGTACTGGCATTATTATCTTGAAGAGGACTCTATGTATATATGTCCACGTATTTTTTTCATCATCATCATCAGCAGCAGCAGCAGCCGAGGCCGCAGCATTAAATAATACTAATTATAATGATGATGGTGATGGTGATGATGATGATGATGAATATGATGATGAATATGATGAATATGATGATGATGATGAATATGATGAATATGATGATGATGATGATCATCATCATCATCAGAAGAAGAGAAACGGTGAAATTATCAAGACCTTGTCCATACCCAAACTCGAATTAGGCCTAGTCTACACACTATACATATACGAAAACGGGACATAATTCACGTTGTGGACGTTGAAAAAGTTTTTTAATTTAGGCATATTGTTTCATATCAAAGCTCTGCTATCTGTCCCATACGTAGTTTTCGTATTCAAAAGCATTTGGTAGGATATGTGCTAATGAGTCTGGATCGTGAGGGTTGTCTTAATGTGATGTCCTCGAGCTCCAGCGTAGACTCCTTACTGTGCGTGACGGCGAATGCGGATCTCATACTGTTCACTCACTGAGAGACGCGAGCCGTGCGTGGAGTTTCAATGGGACGCTCAATCGATTCACGACCGTTTTGTAGTTGAGGGCAGTTGTCAAGAAACTAGTACAATTATTCCGATGATGGCTGCCAACGATGTTGTGATCTTACAGTCACCAGTTGATATAGACAATAAGAGTCATGTCATATCCCTAACACCCTCTCAGATCATTGTCGAAGGATGTTGGCGAGCCGCTGGAGACGATTCCGCAACCCCAGAACCTGTCTTTCGTAAGTATGCGTCCCTGACATTAGATTTCTTCCATTTGTCAACAAACAGCTGACAACGGACAAGTGCGAACTGATCACTAGAGCGATTCTACTCCAAACTTCCCGTCATCTGGAATCGATGTTAAAGACAAACAGCTGATATTCCTATTTTATATGACGATACATCCATTATGCAACCATTTATAACTTGTTTTATATTGTGTTGTTGTCATCCTTGGCAAGTGTCCAGTCATTGTTTACGTCCGTCATTCATGACGTGAAAATGTCTGGACAAAGAAAGTGAGAGAGGGTTTGTATAGCATCTGGCACATTAGTAATGGAGACAGGTCACGCAGTTGTCTATGTTGTGTAACACTACCAGGCTTTCCATGCCTGTGGCCCCTAGTTCAACCCTCTCTCAAAATGTATACATGCCTTCACATCCAGTCATCTTTGTTCACTGCAGACTCAGTGTTCAGGAGCTAAAAATAATCTCTCCTGGGGTTGAGACTAATGCCAGAGCGTGATGAAATTTGTTCATCGGTACTAACATAGGAAATAAGTTAACTTGTGTCTTTGCAAAACAGCTTCTCACGACAAGGTTTATGTATCTAAATTAACATATTATCTGGTTTGTCACACAAAGCACATTGTTAACCTTACGTTGCTCTCGATATTTTTCGAAAGGGTTTTTAAAATTCCTGTCAAAATGTGTCAGGCCTTCTATGGCCTACCTTTCGACAAACCAGATGTAGGGACACGTACAGAATACTTGATATCTATCCGCCATGTTTGATTGATGCTACTAATATATATAGCAGCATGTGACATTTAGACTAACACATCCCAGAAATAAGTTATCTTATTTACAAATATATTTCTTCAAAATAAAAATAATAATACCCAAATGGGGCCCGGAATAATACCTTAATTTCAAGCCTTGAGCTGAGGCAATTTAGACTTGCAATATCATTCCAGACTTGACGTGGACTTTTTTAATTTATTCTCCAGGGTCTGGGAGAGACTACTTGTGACAGTGTGACAATGTTTTATTGTTAGGGCAATTAAACTCAAAATAAGCAGAAAAATGAGTCCACTTGCATTTGTATGGTTTAGTATGAACCTCAAAACTGAATATCAAGCCAGTTCCTCAACATAAAAAAATGGACATAGACTTTTCATAGGGGACAAATTTCAACATGTAATTTTCATCAACTTTGGAAACTAAAGATGACATTTCCTATGATAGCATTTGTTTCAAGTCGCCTGTCATTTTAGCGAGGTGGAATATGGTGGAAGATATTATGTACACTTGCACACAGGTCATGCCCTACTAATTTACAGACAGACAAGATCAATCAACTGAATGTGTTTGTATTGATTGTCACTAATTTTTACACACAAAAGTGTTTACATGCTATTTGTTCGATGGCTGTCATTGTCAAGGGCTCTGTGCACAAACTCCACTGTCAAGCTACAATTAATGACAAAAACTCTGAGCAGATAGGTTTGATTCGCAAATATTGGCGAGAACAGCGGTTTTATAAATGACTTTTGTCCTCAATTACATGACAGTGTTTACATAAGACAGCATCATTACAATGATGCGAGTTATTGCTTTCTATACCGTACAACCACCTTTTATGATATCTTTCCAATCTTTCCCGGAAAGTCTCAGCTGTTTAATTGTCTTGTTATGTTTCTGTATGAATGCAGGATCATTTAATTGGAAATTGAGTCTTTAAGCGCTTGAATTTACTGCACATAGTAAACTCATTATCTCATGGAGCTTAATGGATAGAGTATTGCATTAATCATGGTGATTAAAGCTAATTAGCACCCAGGCGATGCAAGTACCTGTCTGCACTTCCTTTGATGTCAGTTTCTGTACCTACAGGTGATGGGTTGTATAATTGGTAATGGTTACCCTAAGGGTGCCCGATGTCAGTTAATCAATTTTCCCAGCGGATGAGATTATAGCTGATGAAGAGTTTATTTAAGGGGGCACTAATCTCTAGCTTCTACTGGCTGTCTGATACTGCCCTCTCGGGCTCACACACTGCTGTGAGTCGATTTCCTTGCACAGACGGAAAGTAGATGGAATACACCTGTATCTGAGTGCCGTTGTAAAAACACCATACTTTGTTCAAAGGATTTGCCGATAATGCGTTGATCGATTGCTCATTGTTATATAACTCAATGAATTTTCCGTGGATATCATGAGACACGACACCTATGTGAAACACCTGAAACAGGTTGGGAAACAAACACAAGTTTTAATATCCGATTCAGTGTATTTATTTAAAAATATCAGATTGTTACAAAGACATGTGACTTCGAACAAGTCTCTGTACAGATGCAGAGGTATGGGATATTGTTCCTTGATGTGGATATTTACGGATACATTCCTCGAACAAGATAACTGCCTAATATTATACTTATGACTTTGGTCGGTTGTAGTTACAATATGTGCATTTTGTTTTCATTCATTTGCTGTAGCTTTGAACAGAATCATTCTTGTAGCTCTAGGGAAGTTCTTTGATATGGGTAAGTGAGTGAGTTGGGTTTAACGCTTCTTTTAACAGTTTTACTGTTACATCACAGCGTGTCTGTTTAATGTTGGAGGAAAGCCCGAAGTGATGCAGGTCTCAGATGTTTACCACTTTGGTGAAACCCACGAGCAGGGGTATGGAGCTGACAAACCTAGAAACATAATCGGGGCAAAATGTGACTTATATAGAGACAATTTATAAAAGTCAAAATATTTCAGTCATTTCACAAATTGACTAAAAAATCTGTCTATTTATTTAACAGATTGAGTCATTGACTATTAATTATTAAAAAGTTCCAAAGGGCTTAAGACCCATGAAGATCCGGGGTAGAATAGGTCTTCAGCAACCCATGCTTGCCGTAAAAGGTGACTATACTTGTCGTAAGAGGCGACTAACGGGATCGGGTGGTCAAACTTGCTGACTTGGTTGATGCATGTCATCAATCCCAATTGCGTGGATCGATGTTCATGATGTCAGTCACTTGTCTGGTCCAGACACGATTATTTACAGACCACCATCATATAACTGGACTATTGCTGACTGTGGCATTGAACAACAAACAAACCAAACCACTATGGACAACCAACTAAACCAACCAACCAATGTGCTTAAAAACATCACAACAGACTAAATATGCTGGGATTAGAAGCCAAAATATATAGGAATGTACTTTGACATTCGTTTTCTTTTAATCCTATCATTTTCAGTCACAGGGTGATGAAATTAAACATCAAAATGTTTGGAATTCATTATCACAATAAAATAAGGGAACAGATTTTTCGGGCAATTTGTGAAATAACTAAATATTGAGCATTTAATAAATTGCCTAAGTGAAAATTTAGAAACTAACATTTTTAGTCCACTAGTCCTTATGGTGTTAACTTATAGCAAAACCCTTACATATGGAAAATATCTACTAGTTCTTATGATGCCTTAACTGTTGGGCAGTTGGGCAAGGACTACAGGACTACTGCCAATTTCTAACACTGATTTAACACACTGACTGTAACATATACACACGATAAAATAAGCAGTGCTAATGTGAAATATTTAGTTTTAGTTAGTGTAAACAAAATCACACAGTACCAAGCAAGTGACTTATCAAAACTTCATCACCAGTGCCGATGCTACCCCCAAAGATACTTACATTTCCTTAATATTTCCGAGACAAAACTGTATTTGATTTTGTTGATCAATGTGACAATAAGCCCCAATAAAAGCGACAATGCGCTTACAGTTCGCTGAGCACCAGCCACGAACTAGTCAAGATTTCACGGATATCTTCCGGGTATCCACGGCAAAAAGCCAATAACAAAGGCAACAATCAGTCCCGGTGAATTGTCAGAGATCAGTGCCTCCTTAAATGATGCATTAAATTGGCTGCTTGGATTTCTTTTCTTATTCAATTGACCAACATATTTCTCCATAATCGATCCTGTATTATTAATTATAGTCAAAAAGGATGATGAAGAAGGTAGAAACAATTAATCCTTGATTTTTCAAGATTAGTTGTTATATTATGTGTACAACTATCAATATATATATATTGTATCATGTAAGATGCCCATCATGAATATTTTCATCTTATTTGCAAAGTTTACATAAGTGACCAATCAAAATGAAATTATGAAGTTCAGAAGTATGTATTCCTGTAATCGAAAAAGCAAAACTATTTGCGACCAAATCAACATCCAACAAAATAGCAGACGAAGTTGTCAAAAATGTGCAGGGGAAGTATGTGTTCATTTTTATTTAGGTTCATCACAAATTGCACATGCATTTTATTGTAGTACCGGTATGTATCATTATTGCAATAAAATGCAATAGGAAAGTCAGGTCAATATCCATCACTACTGATTTGCAATCAACTAGACATAGCCCTTTGTTCATTATTCACTACAGCAGAGTTCATGTCTAGGTGATGCCTGCATTCAATCAATAAACATTTATGTAGAAAAATATCTGGGTACACTAGCTGTCAAGGCTACATTGGGTAATTATGCACAGTTTTGTACTATTGGGTTTTATTTTTTTTTTATGCATACTGGTACACAAGCAACTAAAACATTAATTGGATTTATATACTATGCGTATCCAGCTTACCTGCTCTGAACTTGCTGAAGATGTTGGTGTAGCATACGAAAGTATTAGGTTGCACAGTTAGCCCCATCGTCTAATGTGCCGCAATCTGCAGTGCAGAGTTGTGTCCCTTAGCTGTGCCAGTCACCAAGTTGTTATACTCTCGGTAACATCGCTGCCACCAGTGTGGGCGCCGCCATTACAAGAATCTTGAAATTTGTCCTCTAACCCCAAATGTAGTAATGTTCATACTCTTTTTTATGTCTTTGGGAATGCCATCGTAGTGAATTTTGAAAAGGACCATGTCTGCCAGATGAATTCACTTTGTTGTTTGTATAATCAGATTGGTTTGAGATTGCACACTAAATGGAATATCAACCAACTTCTCCC